CCACGAGGCCCAGGGAACTTCTGGGAGCAGCGAGTGGGAGGACGAGCAGGCCGAGTATTCTGACATCCGGAGGTGAAACCAGAGGCCTGGCCGGGAGACCGTTCCTCCACGCCGTCCATTTTCTTCTCTGTGGACATTCCAGAACATTTGCCATTGCAGAGGGGGATGCCCCGCGCAGGATCTGGAGGGGACTGCGGACTGGATGCAGGTGTGTGTTGGCGGCATGAACAGGTGCGGTGGAGACTCCCCAGGCGGCGGCGAGGTCCGGCGGGGCCCACACTTGCGCCTTGAGAAGCGAGCGCGCCGCGTGCGCTCCCCGTGGCTTTGTCTTCTCTCCATCCGTGGAGCACTGGGCGCGACCTGCGGCTTCCTCTGCCGGGGGTGGCGGTGGGCACGCCCCCCCACACCCCGGGGCTGGACCAGGCACTTGGGAGGCAGCGGATTCCAGTGCAGGAATGGACCTGAAGATCTCGCAGGGGCTGAGCAGGGTGGAGAGGAGGCAGGGGCCGTGTGGGTGCCGGGTGCCAAGTGGAAGTGGAGTTTCTTGCATGGGACCTGGAGGTTTGGAGCTGCTTTCCAGGGGGGAAGGCGGGAGGGCGAGGGTTCTAAGTGTACCTTCTGAGCCATTGTTCTGACTGGGGCACCCTGTCCGAGGGCGTGGCCCCTGTGTGTGTGTATTTTAACCACTGCTTCGAGTCTCGATGTCACTTTTTATTTATCTAGTTACATCTACATATCTGTCATCTAAATAAATGGCTTTCAAACCAAGCAACTGGGTCATTAAAACCAGCTCAGAGGAAAAACAGACAAGAGGCGCAGCCCATCTTTGGGGCTGATTGGTGTGTGTTTGTTTAAGTGCTATTTTAAAAGGAACTCCAGAGCCACGTCACTGTACATCTTACTGCCTGGTGGGGCTCGTAACCACTCAGGGCGAACCTCACACACGGAGAAGACACCCTCAGCATCTCGGCATCTCCCCGGGACCCCCGCCAACCTGGATGCCGGGAGGCCACGCTGCGAAGCTGGCCCCTCCACGCTGGAGGATGGACGAGTCAGGAGAGAAGCGAGGCCACTCGCTAATTCCCATCGGGGAACGCCGGCCTTTCACACACACCGAGGGGCGGCCAAGCATTTGGAGGGCCAGGGCTCTCCAGATCTGGATTGGCCGTGCTGCAGCGAGGAAAGGAGGCAGCGTGGACCGAAGACAGGCAGGGAGGAGGGACAGAACCAAACCCCCCCGGAGGAATGGATCAGAACCGTTTCTTGCAGTTGCTTCCCGTGTTTCAGACAGAGCCCTTATCTTTCCTCCGCGGACGGGCGAGAGTGAAAGGTTGTCCCTTCAGCAGCCAGCCCTCCACGAGGCGCCCCGCTGGCAGGCAGGGGGCAGGGTTCTGGGCCAGTCCTTCTAGAACAGGTCGCAAGCCTTTTCTGGACAGATCCCGAGAGGCAATACCCTGATCTCAGCTTGGCGGGGCTGCGGGTTTCTGTCGCCGCCTCTCAGCTCTGCCACGTGGCACCAAAGCATACATACCCGGGCGACACGTCGCAGGCCGGGCTCCGCGCCAACACCGTGCAACAGGCGCCCAACTGGATCCGGCTCGTGGGCCTGGGTTGGCGGACCCCTGTTCCAGTGAACGGGCAAAAAAACATGCATCCCCCGTTTCTGTCAGCTCCCAGCTCGCCCTGCAAGCAGCTAAGGCCAGAGATAAGCAAACTAAATGGACCCACTCCAAAATGACTGGCTGCAGGGAACGCCCTAACCCAGAGCACAGCTCACGTTTTTTACCCCGATCATTGCTGCCGGGACTCGGTGCCGGAGGGTCAACCCCCCCAATCTTTTATGACCCGTGTTGGGTGTTTGTTGGGGGGAGGGGGGCGAATTGCTGGAGAGAAAGAGCTGGAGCTGCAGAAAGCAGAGGCGATGGTGCACTTAATCCGGCTCTGCCCGCAGGCGGGGGGAGGACCGGTGTGTCAGGCTCTGCCATGGGAACCGAGCGTAAACCGTGGCCGGCTCATGCCACGGGCCCGGCAGCACGCTGACTGTGCTCCTTACGTCACCGGGAGCTGAGGCAGCGCCTTCTCCCTCGCTGCTGGGTCAGCTGTTCATTTGTCCGCCGGCGGCTGGGCTGGACGTGCAGAGGCATCACTTGGCTCTTTCCCTCGGTGTCGACGTGTCACGTGCGGCTTCAATGGCGAACATCTGTCATGTGTCTGTATGGCCTCGGTGTCTTCCCCCGAAGGTGGGACATCGCTCACTGTGTTCCTCTCGACCCCTGCGCCGATCTCTGCTGTCTGTTCTTCCTGCCGCTGGTGTCTCCCCGCTCCACGGCCAGGTGGCCAGGCCTTCACTCTGGTTCCTCGGGCTCTGAGGCCGCTGATAGTATCTATGGCGAAGGTTCCTCTGCTCAAAACCGACGGAAGTCCGAATTCCCGTGAGCGTGGCCAGACAGGCGTGTGTATGACCAAGACGTCAGCAAAGCCGTCATTAAAAATAGAGACGGCGCCGGGGCTCAGGCTCCGGACGTCAGACGAATCTTCTCCGAGCCCCTCGGAGGAAGGATGTGATTTCCAAATAAAGACGCGAGTTTATTTTGAGCGCTGCACCCTGACGGGATGAGCTGAACACCTCTCCTTTGTGTCGACCAAGAGCCCTGTTCTCAAAGCAGATGGACGACTGAGTCGCCTGGAAGGCTGGCACCCGGCGCTAAAGAAACAGCACCCGGCCCGGGCCTGCAGCGACCTCGCGGCACAGAGACCTGTGAAGGCCACCACGGGAGGCTCCGCCGGCACAACCGGCAAACGGTGCTCCCGGCCCGTTTCCCGAGGAAGAGCCGCAGAACCGGCACCACGCGCCCCGCTGCGTCCCCATGTCTGTGTCGGGTCTGGATTCGGGCAGCAGGGCCTGGACACGGTCACACGGCATGGTTTCCTCGGAGCAGCAATAAAGGGTTCAGATAAATGGCTTCCCCTCGTGCAGTGTCATTTCATTGTCTGCGAGGGCTTTGGGCGGCCCGTGCGAAGGGGGAGGGCTGCGAACAAGTGGGCCTCGGAGTCCCTTGAAAATGCCGGACACTCGGTTACGGGGAGGGGAGCCAGGTGGAGGAGGCACCCTCCTTCCGTGAGAGGGACCCTGTCCAAAAACCCACCTGGGTCACCCAGACCCAGAGGAGACGGAGGGCCATGCAGCCGGCCCGTGGCCAGTAGGAGGCCCCCATGCTCTCTCTGGTCTCACCTTTGAGTCTCCTCGCGGAGGGCCATGCAGCCGGCCCGTGGCCAGTAGGAGGTCCCCGTGCTCTCTCTGGTCTCACCTTTGAGTCTCCTCGGGGCCTGGCCACCTGTTCTTTCAGACTGAGTCTGCGCAGAGGCCACTGGCCCGGGCAGGGGAGCTCGCCG